GCTGCTGAGACTGTTCCTTTTAAAGCAGATTATTCCAGCGCACTCTGGTTCATTAATTTTTAGCATGATATAAGACTGGCAGCTACAGCTGTGATCTGAGGACAAAGCACTAGACACAGCACAGGATGGAAGGATCCTTCCCTGGGATGCCAAAAACGAGTGAACATCTAAGGGGAGATTATTTCATCTACCACAAGATCTTTAGAAATTCAGCGGTCCCTCCCAGCTCTGCAGAGCGCTGACCTGAGCGTGCACCCAGAGACGGCGCTGGTGCCACCGCCGAACCGGCCCCTCTCCCAGCGGCTGCAGGACACCGGGAGCCGTGCACCCCGGGAGCGGAGCCGGGACGGGCGCTCGGGGGCTTCGGTGCCGCACATCGACTGCCGCCTCCGTCAGCCGCGGCTCATCCCTCCCCACGGGGAGAAGCCCATCTCGTTACGGCATCAGCGCCGGAGCGCTGGCGCGAGATTCCCGCTCGCACCCTCTGTCAGGCAGAACAGAAAAATCAATCTTGTTTACAAACTTGATGGGACCTGAGCACTATGCCCAGCGCGCACTGCCGCCATTCCCCGGATTTGAAGGCGAGCCTGACAGTCACATAAATTTGACATCTTGTCGTAGGAAATCGAACATTTTCAATTAGAAGTGCCTTTCGGGCTGTTCCTCCCCGTTTTCCAATAGCTAGAACCAAGTCTACAGGAGTGTCTGTCAGAAGGTATGGCAGTTAGTAACGGCACGAAACGCCTCGATTTGCATTTCGCAGGAACACAGGCACCACGACCCGCACAGGCGCGTCCCACGAGGGGCCCGAGCACAGCTCAGCCGGTGGGCTTACTTGTTAATTTTGTTCTTTGGTTGTCTGAATCTTACACTTGAGAACAAAAGTGCCCCAGCACATGTGATGCATCATGTGCGCATCTCCGTTTCTTTTCTCAGATAAACTCCCACCCTCTCCCACCTCATCCTACAAGTGTTTTTCTTGGTCCCCAGCTGGTTTAGGTGTCCTTGTTATTTCGCAGTGCTCATTTTTGCAGTGGGTATGTGACAGCTCTCAGGAGATCAGGCCATCAATTTATAGAATGAAATTCTCTTTTTGTACACTATTTTCTATCCTATTTCTTGTCCACTGGTAGTACCGCAACTTAATTATTAAATAATAAAATTCAATAATACATTCTCCTAGAGCCAAAGAGAAGCAGCTGGATGGGTCAGACGGATCAATTGCCTCTCTCCAGCTCCATCATCACTGCCCACACAAGCTACTCCTGTTCACCAGGAGCGCTTTGTTCTTCCCACTGACAGAGCGCGCACATGCTCCCTCCTGGGTACAGCGCTGTATGCACACACCATCGAACGCGTAGCAGAACAAGCAACACTGATCTGTGCGGCAGCCTGGCAGATTACCCGGCGCGATGCACCCACGGGAAGGGTGTCTCTTACCGACCCATCTGCCGCAGCTCCTCGGACAAGAGCAGACGGCTCTGTCGAAAGGAGAGGGCAACATCCTCTCACGCCCAGTCTGTGCCGCAGGGAGAGCCGGGGCAACTGAGGATGCAGAGTTGAAAAACGCATGGTTTCCTACTCTGCTGGCATGGGACATCTTTAGACACCTCCACCTCACAGCAGCATGAAGCCTGACAACGAGATGGCTCCTGGGCATAACCCTCCTCTCCAGCCGGGGACTCGGAGTCACAGCTCTGAGGATGCCAAAGCGTTTCCTTCTCCAGCACGGATCTCGGCATTTTCTAAGCCAGCCACCTGTGTGTTCAAGTTTCGGCTTAAGAAATGGCAGAAGAGATCCGGATTAATCGACAAAAGGGCCGCAGAGTTTGAGCGGTTTTATCTTGTTAATCGATGAACAGTGATTAAGAGTGACTCACTGAGTGCAGCACGTCGGACGACCTGAGCGCAGGACGCAGGCGGTGCGAGCTCCGGGGCTGATCGCAGTGGCTATTCAAGTGAAGCATGGCCAAGATTTTGCATGCAGCAGTAAAATGAAGTTATTAATCACCCGGCAGTATTTACCAGCTGGTCAGCAGCCTTTTATATCAACCGTTCCAGTGATGGGTATCTCGGACAATTAAGTTAGCCTTTGTTTTCTTTTTGAAGAATGGAAACATTAACCACACCGACAAGCAGGAAACTGGGACAGAGCAACTGTATGACTTGCACAAAGTCATACAAGACAAATGGGACCAAGAAAAGGACTGGGGTCTGTGGAGGTCCCACCAGCACAATGACTGCACAGCCAAAGACAGAAGTTTACCCTTAGGGACTCCTTACAGCTTTCCTCTGCAAACGCTCTGCATGTTGGTTTACACACGCAAAGAAAAAAAAGTGGCTTTTAACCAAATAAGGGCAAACACTGCCCCAGACACATCGCAGGGTCCACTAAAACCAAAAATCCATTTCTTGCAGCTTACAGGTTTCTTCTAATTAAAAACTGTTCAGCATTTTACAGAGAGGAAGGGGCCAAGACCTAAGTAAATACTGAAGCTTAGCATAAAATATTAAGAGAATAAGCACAGATGGAAGATTAAATACTAGGCTGAAATTGCTTCATAACATGGATTTAGGAATAAAGCTACTTAACCCAGACAACTTCATGATAATGTTAATACAAAATCAGGCCAACCCCATCAAACATCCTTTCTGGCCATCTCCATAGCTGGAAAACACGTGTGTGCATGCAGTGTTCCCTTCTCCACCTCTCCACTCACGCCGTGCTGTGCCACAGACAGCGCAGGACGCGCCTGAAGATCCCACACGGGGTGCAGTTCAGGAGGACCATTTCACAGACCGTTTCAGGATGCTGCTCCGGGTCTGCGCTTCTCAGCCCACCTCCATAAAACCAGAGACAGACCCCGGCACAGCCCCCACTCGCCTTCGGCCGCGGTCCCCCTTCCCCGCCTGGACCCGTACGGGGTATGGACCACCACGACTCCCGCACCCGGGCCCCAGACCCGCACCACCCAACAGAGGCGCCGCTTCTGAATGAAAGTGTTATTAACGATTCTGCGCATGTCAACCCAGCGTCTGTTAAGGGTGCCCACGGCGAGACAGGACACCCAGCGCGGGGTGGCCCGGCGGCGGGCGAAGGGTCTGGCACCCACCCGGCTGCGGGGCGGAGGGGAAGGGCAGGGGCCGGCGGCGCAGCTCTGCGCCCGGCAAAGCCCACGGCCGTGGGTCGGCCCCTCCGGGCAGGAGCGGGACAAACCCCCCGCTGGCGGTGGAAGGCGTTCTCTCTCTCAGTGGTGAGTTCCAGCGACGTCCCCGTCCCCACGCTTACCCCTCCTCACTGTCCGGTGTCACTCCCTCACACTGGAGTTTGTTGGTTTGTTTACACCCTCCTCAGCATTTACCCTCAATGCTTCTGATGGGTTCTGCCTTTTTTTTATTTTTCCCCTCACCAAACTGTCTCCGGTCAGCTTGTTGACCCACAAACCTTGCAGATATCTTCGAAGAAAGAAAAAAAACATGAAGGACACTGCCTGCGTTAGCACTATTGAACTTCTTCGTGTTGCTGAACTCCTGCAGATAGCGGAGGAGCCGAGTGCTGCCTGCATGAATCAATAACGCCCGCAGTTTCACTCAAGACGCCTATACAGTCATTTATAATTAACACTACAACTCGGTTGTCTTCCAAAATCAATTCCTTTCCATTTTTTGTCATGAAATTGTATTTGACAAAGTTCATCTGCTCTTAACGTGTGTTAATTTTCCCTGCTGAAACAGGCATTCATAAAAATGCTATTTAGGAAAGACAGCAGCTAGGGGAAACACGCAGCCGGCGCCGAGGGGTGCTGCAGGGAGAACCGTGGCAGCACCGCAGC